CCTCTGGGGTCTGCTCGGATGACAAGACCCTTTTGTGTCCTCGACCCGGGGATCAAGGCTGGGGGACAGGCTGTGATTCAGGGGCCAAAACTGAGACCCCGTTGCTCTCCACAAGAGGTCTCAGGGCTTCCCACACGGAGTCCCGTCCTCTTCACAACACCCTGTTTTACAAACGAGGAAAGGCGTCCAAAGTACACAGCTAGTAAGTATGAACTTGACACAGTACTGGCCCTCCAACAACTACAGAACCCCTTTAACACCGGGGGCGGGGGAGGGAGGGCTGTGCGGAGGAGGCTCTCTGGTGGACAGGCTGGTGGGTGGTGAAGCCGTGGGCCTGCTCTCCTTCCCAGTCCACATCCCCTGCTCCACCATGTCTCCTTGTGCACACAGAGGCGCTCTCTGGGCATTGCACAAGATCCTGGACACAGAAAGACCCTGAAGCCAGCCAGGTGAGCCAAGACAGGCATGGGCACTGTCCCTTTAAAACTTATCGCTGAGTCAGGCCTGCCAGCCTGGTAAAGGGCCTGAGCTGGAAAACAGGCATTCCACAGGCAAACAAGGATGCAAATGAGGAATCCCTCACTGGGGACACTGGGCATCAGGGGGCCAGAGGGAGGCCTTATCCGGCCCTCCCCAAACCTTTACACTGCGGTGGGGAAGTGGATTGCCTCTGCCCATTGCACAGCTAAGGAAACAGGCTCAGAAAAGAGAAGTGACTTGCCCAGGGACTCTGCCAGCCGGTGACAGAGCAGGCTTATGAACCCAGAGTCTAAATTTCTAATTGTTATGCTACAATCCTTTCTTGGCTTTCATATTCTCAAAGTGGGGACAATGAACTTAGAGTCACAGAGCCACCTGGAAACTGAACGGGGATAACACGCCCAAGACAGGAGCCACAGCCATCTCAGAGCCTGTGGAGCCCTGTGGCCCTCAGGTCAGCTCAGAAATGTGCCCGGGGCCTGTGCATATTCCTCCCAAACTGCTCGTCTTAGGCTGAGGCTTCTAGAGAAGCAAAACCAGTGAAGCATGTGTGTATATGTACACGGAGAGAGATGTATATCAAGGTAATGGCTCACGTGGTTGTAGAGGCTGGAAAGTCCCAAGTCTGTGTGCCATGGACTGAATTATGTCCCCCTAAAAATGTGTGTATCAATTTGGCTGGGAGATAATTCCCAGTATTGTGTGGCTGTCCTCCATTTTGTGATTGTAATTTTATGTTAAAGAGGATTAGGGTGGGATTGTAACACCCTTACATCCCTGATCCAATGTCAGGAGAGTTTCCCCAGGGTGTGGCCTGCACCACCTTTTATCTTACAAGAGATAAAAGGAAAGGGAAGCAAGCAGAGTGGCGGACCTCATACCACCAAGAAAGCAGTGCCAGGAGCAGAGTGCATTCTTTGGACCCGGGGCTCCTGCATGGAGAAGCTCCTAGTCAGGGGGAACACTGATGAGAAGGCTAACAGAGAGATAAACCCTTCCCCTGGAGTTGATGCCCTGAATTTAGACTTCTAGCCTACTAGACTGTGAGAAAATAAATTTCTCTTTGTGAAAGCCATCCACTTGTGGTATTTCTGTTAGAGCAGCACTAGATGACTAAGATACTGTGGGTCAAGCATCAGGCTGGAAGCTTCTCCTGACTTATGTAGCTACATAGCTGCAGAGGCTGATGAACCCAAGACTGGCATGTAAGATGGCAGGCTGGTGGCTCAAGTCCCAAGAACCGGAGATCAGATGATGACAAGCCACATGCAGGATCCAGAGCAGAGCAAAGAATCCAGTGAGCTTTGTCAGAAAGTCCATATATATTGGATGCAGGCCACACTTCAAAACTTCCTTTCAACTGATTGGTTCCTCATGGCAGATCTCATCATGGATTTGATGGAGGTGATTATATTATGTCAGATCTCATCACGGAGATGATTACATCATTACATAACTGCCAAACTGCATCATAACTGCCAAACAACTGAGAATCATGGCCCAGCCAAGTTGACACACAACCTTACCCATCACACACCTCCTGATGTGACCAGGCAGGGACCGGTCCCTCTATCCCTCTCTTCTCCCCGCACTAGGCTTCCCTCCAGAGAACTCCGGCCCCCAGGGTCATTTTCCCATGCCTCCTCCTCCCTTGCCCCTCAAGGCAGGGGCTTTGGGCCAAGCTTCCTGGCCTGTGGTAACCAGTACAGCGAACAGCTGCCTTAAGCAGGGCTGAGTGCTGCCTCCTGAGGGCGGTGTCTGCCTGGCGGGGCTGTGTTTTTGTGCGAATGGTGCCAACATTTTCAAACTCTGCTCATGAACAATGGCATGAGGCGATAACACTATTGTATTGGGGCTTTGTGCCCAGACCCTTCCCTAAGGACTCTCCAGGCTCACAGCCCTCAGTGCTGTTACCCCATCTCATGAGAAGGCCACAGAGGCCAAGGCAGGAAGCCGCCTGCCCAAGGTGTCCTCCGCACCTGCTGCCCCCACATGGTGGGTGGTAGTGAGTACACTTTGAGTCAGGCAGAGCTGAGTTCAAGAACCAGCTCTGACACTGTCTGGCTGTGACAATCTCCCTGAGCCTCAGTTTCCTTAGCTGTAAAATGGGCCACCAATAGCTCCCTCTCAGGGGCTACCCCTAGGAAGTGCCTGGCTGTCAGCAGTGCCTCTTACTTGACCAGCACTGTGGGAGGTCTGGCCCGAGCCCAAGCCCACATGATCCCCAGCCTGCAGTGCAGGAGGAGGGGCCACCAAACAGGCCTGGCGGTCTGAGCTCTGGGCTGACAGGACACAGGGGTCGTGGTCAGGATGAGCTTCCCTGGCTTCCCAGGGCAGTCCCTAACATCCTTGATCTCCAACCCTTCAGATGGGCAGAGCCCTGAAGAATCAAGTCCAAATCCCTCAGTGAACAGATGGGGACACAAAGGCCATGTGAGCAGTTGAGTCACTCAGGGAACCCCCGGCCAGGGTTTTTGTTTGAAGCGCCCTGCTGCCCCAGGCCCCCATCCCTCCCTAGATGGCAAGGATGTGCTCAAGGTCAGGAGCAGCGTCTGGCCCAGGGTTTACTGGAAGCTCACTCTGTCTGAGAAATCCCTCAGGGTGACTTGCATTGTCTGCAGCTTTCAGTTTCACTGGCAGAACTTACCCTCTAGCAGTAGTGAGGCGTGGGGCAGCAGGGAGACAGGAGGTTCCAAGCCTGGAGCAAGAGGGCAGACAAAGCAAGGGAGGCACTGGGTTCCAGCGTCCGCTGGGTGCCTGCCTTACCACCTTGTGGGGCAGAGCAGCAACAGCTGCGGGGCGACAGCGCCATCCCCCCAGTCGCTCTGCTCACGGCCTCCTGGGGTGGAACAGTCCTGGTTGTGCCTCTCACCGCCTATGCCTCAGTTTCTCCTGTCAGTGAGGGTGAGGTGCACTTCCCAGGGCTGGCTCCACCTTGCCTTCATTTTACCTGTATCCCTCACAGAGTGGGCTGTCTATCTTGCTCAAGGCCATGCCCCGTGCCTGGAACCGGGCCTGGCACACAAGAGGTGCTCCATGATGAGAGGATGAGGCAGGGGACTTCTCCCCATACTCCTCCTGCATGCCTCTAGCCAACCTGACTTCTTCCTAACTTGCTCCATCAGTGACCTTGGCCTTGCTCAACCTCTGACCTTCAGTTTCTTCATCTGGGAGGGAAAAAAGATTAAGCTCATATGGCCTTGACCAAATGCCCAGCTGTGTGCTAACAGCATTACATCCCCCATTTCACAGAGGCAGATGCTGATACACAGAGGTTGAGTCACTTGCCTGAGGCCACACAGCACCCAGGCAGCAGCTCTGGGACCCAGCACCCTGGTAGGCTGGCCTCCTCACGCCTCCCAGGGCAGGTAGAAGATTAAAGGGGCCGTGTGTTTACTTGGTGTCTACATCCATCAGGGGCCTCGATGGGAGCATCAGCGGCTACCATGAGAGAACGCAGAAAACTGGGGCGTCACGGAAGGGTGAAAAAACAGCTGGGTCTGGGAGAAGGTCAGGGCCAGGTCGGGGACACACTGCCCTGCGGCTGCCTGCACTGCCATGCCCGCCTCCCTCCCTCCCTCTGCATCCCACCTGGCTCCTGAGGAACAGAGCTGACAGAGCCAAGGCTGAAAGAGCCGTGCACTCTGCGCGGGGGGGGGGGGGGGGCAGTGGAGCTCAGGGCTGGGCCCGCACAGGGCCCCTGACACTGGGCTGAGGCACCAGTTTAGGGCAGGGTGGGCTCTGCCCCCTAGAGACTAGGGCAAGGAAAGTCTGTTCTGGCAGTGGGGGAGGGGTTGGCTGCCAGACCAGCACATAGTGGGGCTCAATCCGTGTGGCTCCATCCCCTGCCTCCCTTCCCTCCATTTGAGTCGGTGCCAGGAAGGCCTTCATACCCTCATTTCCAGCAGAAAGCGGAGGCTCAGAGAGTGGAAGGCAGCGCGCCCCACGAGTTGGGGAGCACCGCTGGCTAATCTGACAGTTACGAGATGCAGCGCGCACGGCGCTGGGGAGATCCTGGGGCTCCCCGGGCAAACCGACCTGGGCAAAGCCTCATGCCAGCAGCTACGCAAGCTTGCATTTGTATTGGGCTGCTCATCTTGCAAACGGGTCAGGAAAGGCTGGTTCGTGGCCCCGTTTTATAGATTAAAAATGTCAACGATGGAGGCGCAGAGAGGGGCCTAGAGGCCGCGGGCCCGGGAGGCAGACCTGGGGTTCCTCGGGGCCTGCGAGGGGCTCCGAGCGCGCCCGCGCAGTTGGGCGCCCGTGGGGTGCCCAGCGCGGCCTCTCCCGGCCTCAGCGAGCCCTGTGGGGGCGTCCCAGGCCCGGTCGGCCAAGGAGGAAGTCGTGGATCCAGGAGTAGTTGGGCACCCCGGTCCCCGTAGGACCAGGTCTCTAACTAGCGGCTGCAGCGTCCGGGCCTCGTAGGCCCCGATCCCGCCCCCGGACTCGGGGCGGGGTCTGTGGGCGGTGGAGCGCGAGCCCCGCCTGGCCGGCCCGGAGCCGAAGGAGCCGGCGCGCGGCTGGAGCCCAGCGGCAGAGGCGGACAGTGGCGGCGGCGGCGGCGGCGGGGGCAAGGGGGGGCTCTTAGGCCGCGAGCGAGGCGGCCCCGGCGGTCGCGCCATGGACTCGGGCGCCGAGGAGTACGAGCTCAACGGCGATGTGCGCCCGGGTTTCCACGGCTCCCCGAACGCCTCGGTAAGCCCCAGCCCCGCCGCGGCCTCGCTGTGTGACTTTGGCAGACGCCGCCCTCTCTGGGTCCCGCGCGCAGGCACCTGTGGCGCTCCGCATTGCCGGGTGGCGAAGGCGCCGCTGCCCTGGGCCGCCTGGTGTTGTTGGCCCGGCATATCTCGCCTCCCTGAACCCCACTTTCCCCGTGGGAGGCGGGAGCGGGTGGCTCCAACGGTTCCACCATTCCTGGGCAGGTGAACGGGGTCGTCGAGTGCTGGCATCCTGCCAACCCGCCGGCTGCGGAGGCCGTGCGCTCTGGAGCGTCCTGGGCAGTGCCCTCGCCTGGTTTCGCCCGCTTGCCCTCCCTCACCGCCAGCACGGCGCCCCCTCCTCAGAGCACCCATCTCCTCCCACTCCTGCCTACCTCCAGCCTTGCAGTCCCTTGGCCCTTCCCACGCCTCCCACTCCCTCCTTCACTACTCCTCTAACTTCCAACCTGACCATCTCACGGTGGGCAGAGAGGAGTCACAGCCTCCTGGGCTTCCAGCCAACAGCGGGCAGACAGTTATGTCACCGCCTGGTGACCACAGATTATGATGTGTTCCCTGCCAGGGGATAAGGCTGCTGTGGCCTGTGCCACTCACCTGCCTTGGTGACATCAGGGCTCCCCACTGCTGGGGAGAATCCTCTCACACACGCACCCCCAGCCCAGACCTGCTAGTGTCCACCCACAGGCCCTGAGGGCAGGGTGCCAGGGCTTCTGTGCTGGCCTGGGAGGGCAGTGGCCCCTCCATTAGGGCTGGAGGTGCCCTGAGCGCCTCGCCCCCCACCCAGCAGGCCTGAGTGGGACTGGGGCCCTGAGTTTCATCCCCTCGGGTGCCAACACTCACTGCACCTCCTGTGTGCATGGCCCTGAGCAAGGCTCTCTGTAACTTGTTTGTTGACTTTGGACATCCTTTCGTTTTCCAACTCCGCGGGGTAGGGACAAGGAAATGGTGGCCTGTGGGTTTTTCCTGACTGTGGGCAGAGCCTAATGCAGCCTGGAGACTGCAGATGCGAACGCGGACCATCCTAGGCCAGTGCAGTAGTGACAGGTGATGCTCAGGGAGAAGGGTGCAAGAGCTGTGGTGGGGAGGACGTGGGGAAGTGCCTCTCTCTGCCCTGGCCGTCTGCCACCGTCCTCGCCATCTTTCATGGAGCCTTTCCGAGGCCCTCGCCACTCTACCAGGGTCTCGCATGTCCTTTCACTAAATCCTTGTGCCAGCCCTGGCTTACTTGGGACCGTCCATCCCCACGTTAGCGCTGAGGAAACCAAGGACAGATGGGGAGGCCAGGGGCCAAGAGCCACAGCTGGGACTCGATCAGGGGTGTGTGACCCCCCCAGGACTGGCCCACCCCAGTGTGTAGCACTTTGGGAGGGGCACCTCCTGGCTGTGTGACCTTGGGAAGGCTGCTTCACTTCTCTGGACCTGCTGTTTGTGGTCTTAAAAATGGGAAACAAAGTATCCCTGTCCTGCCTGCCTCCCAGGGAAGTGGAGGAAGCAAACCAGGTAAAAAACAGGTGGCAGTGGTTGGGAAGCTGGCCGTGCCCTGCTGCATCTTGTACCTGGAATGCCTTAGAGACAGCCTCACCTTTGCCTGAGCAGAATGGGACTGGCCAGCTAGGGGACTGGCTGCATCTCAGGCCCAGCTGAGAGGTTGGGTTGGCTTTGTTCAGCAGTACTGCACTGGCTCTGGGGACCAGAGGTAAGTGAGGCACGTCCCACCCCACCGAGTTTAGTCTGGGAGATGAGACCACCCAGACAAGGACAAGAGAATCCAAGGCAAGAAGTGTTTAGTTCCCAGGAATGGGCTGTGGTGGAAGCGGCCTGCAGGAATCAAGGAAGGCTTCCTGCAGGAGGTGGTAGACATCAGAGCTGGGCCATGGAGGGAGGGAGTCTGGCCTTCTGAGATATATGGGAAGGCATCCCAGGCAGAGGAAACAGCAAAGACCTAGAGGTAGACCACTGAGGCACATGCAGGGCTGGGTAGGATGTGGCAGGGTGGGAGGTCAGGCTGGACAGGAGAGGCCTTGAGGCTGGACCGCAGGTACCCTGGGCCACGGGGGCCACAGAAGGGCTTTGAGCAGGGGAGGGATGAGGCTGGCATGAGGAGAACTTTCTTCTGCCAAATGGAGCTGAGGTGCTCAGGTCCAGCTGAGCCAGAGCCCAGTCACAGACATGGAGGCTGCCTGGAGGGGGTGGCCAGCCTCAAAAGCTACTCTGCTCACGCAGCCTGGGACCCAGATGTGCCAGGGCCTGTTCGCCAGCCTCCGTCTTCCCCACTGCACCCTCAGGACCCTGCCACATTACTTTCTTGGGCACATCACTCCTCCTCTCTGCCTCAGTTTCTCATCTGTAAAATGGAGCTAACTACAGTGTCTTCCTCAGAGGGTTGTTGTGAGGACTCAAATGCTTGGAAGAGGGCCCAGCACACAGCCTTGCTGTCATTATGATTATGATTTTGATTATGATTATCTTAAGTATCTTTTAAAAGGAAGCTTTTTATCTCTCTTTGCTAGAAATAGCAGATTTTTTTAAATACAGGGAAAACCAAGCAGCGTGATTAAACCTGTGCCTGTGAAGTTTTGGGTTGAGTGTGTTGATGGTGGCCTAGTCCCACGGAGACTTTCTCCTGGTGACGAGAGCCCATGGACTTGAAGTGATTAGGATGGGGAAGCACTCCCCAGGGTGAACCCCACCGGGCAGACACTGTGCTCCGCTGCTTCTCTCTGAACACCAGCCTGCTGTGAAGTCGGAGGGCAAGGAAGGAAGGGTTTGCTGAGAGGAGAGGCAAGTGTCAGCAAGGGGTCTCTGTCCCTAGGGTCACACCTAGCTGCCCAGCCTTCTCTGTGAGGGCAAACACTGGGTCTTCAGACTTGTCCCCTCGAGAGTGTGAGGGCAGGTCCTACAGTGTCCCCAGCCCTCGCACACCACTTACACATGGTAGGTGCTCAGGGAGCATTTGCAGGGGTACTGGGAGGCCCGAGAGCCCCCTAGTCTTGGGACACCCCAGCCTTAGGCAAGTACAAACCCTTTCTGAGCCTCAGTTTCCCCTTCTGTAAAATGGGGCACAATCACTCACCTCCTGAGGAAGGCTGAGTCAGCCACATGTGACCCCTCACCTGGAACCCAGTGCGTGGTCAGGGCACAGCAAACATGCACCCCAGTGCACCCAGAACCCTGTGCACCCAGGGCCAGGGGGCGGGTATGCCCTCTAGCCTACGGTATTGATTCAGTGTCTTCTTATAGCCAGCTCACTTTTTGCCTGCTGGTAAAAGGAATAGTAAAAATAACAATTAGTGGTGAAATGAGTGTGCTGAGTCCTCTGGACTGTCACAGCCACTTGAATCCTGCAGCAAACCTTGGGGGGAGCACTGCCCCCTTTTATGAGAGATGGCTGAGGACAGGATTGGAACGGCTCCTCTGGCTGGCCCCCTCGCTGCCCCCACCCGGCCTGACAGGGTGATGGGGCTGTCGTGTCATACTGGGCCAGTGTCCCCTGCTTGGTGCTTGGGGACACTGTGGTCCTGCCTCCTGCACAGCCCCTGGCTGGGCCGTGCACAGTCCCAGCTACCCAGAGGAAGTTTGCTCTTGTTGCTTCTGCTTTCTGGTAGGTCCCGAGGCTGGCTGTTTCTTGGCCAAGTTCTAAAAGGCAACCCTGACACAGCTGTTACAACCCATTAGGGGTCACTCCCGGAGAGTGCTGAGCCCGCAGGACGTGGGCCAGTCAGCTGTGAGGGAACCCTAGCCAAGGCAGGACTTCCTGTTGTCTCTGGGCCACCTGCTGGGGGCTTCCTGCCGTGGAGTCCACACTGCTGCTGTCTGAGGTCCCGGGGTTTACTGCCCGCTGCCCTGGTGAGGAGAGTGCAGCCCTAGCCACAAACCCCCTGGGTGCCTAGGCCACTTTTTATGTGGCCCTAGAGAGGTGGTCTCCTCACCTGCTGGGCCTCCATGTTTCTGCCTGGGAGATGGGCAGAGCAGCAGTGCATGCCCTATGGGTGGTTGCTATGGGGCAGACGAGGAACACCCAGGGCCCCGGCAGATCCTGGCACAGAGTGAGCATCTGGAAGAGGAAGGATGATGGGGCTGTGGGGCCCCTGCTGGCTGCGGTCTGCCAGGACTGAGAGCTGAGGATCTAGGGCACCCAGTAGCGGGCTAGCCCGGGGATCTGTGTCCTAGGCTCGTTTTCCTCCCTTGTTACTGATTGTTTAATGGAGTTAATTGTGAATAAGTTTGGTTTGCTTGGTAAGTAGGGTCTTTCAAAGCAGTGAGAGCTGGGCAGCAAGGTGGAGTAACATCCCAGTCCCGCCACCACCAGCTGAGCAGCTCAGGCATTCTGGGGTCTCAGCCTCGCCAGCACCTAGAGCGCTCTGGGATGGCCTGCTGCACCCAGCCTCAGTGGCGCACTGATCCTCACAGCACACCTGCACTCACCCTTCACAGATGAGGACACCAAGGCACAGCACCCCTGACTCACCCTTTCACAGACAGGGACACCGAGGCATAGCACCCCTGACTCACCTCTTCACGGGTGAGGACACTGAGCCACAGCACCCCTGCACTCACCCCTTCACAGATGAGGACACCGAGGCATAGCACCCCTGCACTCACCCCTTCACAGATGAGGACACCAAGGCACAGCACCCCTGACTCACCCCTTCACAGATGAGGACACTGAGCCACAGCCCCCCTGCACTCATCCTTCACAGATGAGCACACTGAGCCACAGCACCCCTGACTCACCCGTTTACAGATGAGGACACTAACCCATAGCACACCTGCACTCACCCTTCACAGATGAGGACACTGAGGCACAGCACCCCTGCACTCACCCTTCACAGATGAGGCACCGAGACACAGCACAGTCCCCAGCTGACCGAGGTGGTACAGCCGGAGTCTGGGGATGAGAGAGGGGTGGCGTGGACGCTCCAGTCCAGCCCTGCTAGGCACAGGCCCTTGGTGGGACAGCGATGGGGGCTTTGGTCT